AAACCCTTTGGAGTTGTGCATGTAATGCCATTGTTTAGGTGATTTGGTTAGAGAGAAATGTAAGAATTTTCGTGAATAAATGTGGGGAGAGTGAAGATCTTTGGGAACTTTACTTTCCGGCTTCCTTTTGGGCCAACGTGTCTAAATAATTTGAAGATAAAAATTTGCTGATCTCTTTAGCGGTGTTTTTATATGGAACATTCATCTGGAGTATGTCAGCTTTGCTGAGAATTATGTACTATAGGAGCTTTAATTCATCAACATGCTTTAGGGAAGGTCAGTGGGTTGATGATCTGTTCTAGATGTTATTGAGGAGACAAGGTGGCAGCATTTCTATGGTAGGGCATATGGTGTGCAATAGTTTTTTTTTCGAAGGTGTCTTTTTTCAAGTGGACTGCATCTTCAAAGTGATCTGGCTATTGTCAATTTGGGACTGAGGTGGAAATGCCTTCGAATTGATATTTCATATCAAAGCAGCCGGAGGAGAAAATCTCAACATTCTTTTTCCATTTTTTGGGGTGTACATAGTTAATCACCTTGTGGTGCTTTATTTGGCCACATAAAACTGGNCCTGGTACCGGCATTGGTGTTAACATTAGAAATGTTTGTGAATTCTTTTCAAGTGTTTTGAAAGCTATAGTTTATATGGATATCGGGCTTTCTTTAGTGTTTTTTTTGGGGGTTTCCAAGGATAGTTACTGCCAAACAATTTGGAGTATCAATCTGACATGAATTGCCCTGCGGGCTAGGCTCAACTATCGTNTGTAAAATACTAATAAAAAAATTCGTCATGATGTGTCATCCTTTGTCTTGGGATTTTGGTTTTCGTAGAAGTCTTAATAATAGGGAATATTTTGTGGTGGTTAAAATTCTCTTTGATTAATTGTCTCTTTTACTTGAGGTTCTTTGGATCAAAGAGCATGGACTATCGATTCTGGTATTTTCTCTTGTAAATNATGGGCCGGGCTGGGTTAAGCCTGTGAAATATTTTTTGGGTCGGATTGGATAATATAAGTCCAAGTACTTATTCAAGTGAGTTATAGGTGGGGTGGGGTGGGCTGGGCTGGGCCAAGCTTTGGGTATGGGTAAGTTATCCGCAGTCCAATCCACAAGTCTGTTGGGCAGGTGTTGGGTTGGCATGTTGGTGGACTCTTTTATATAAAATTTTATTTAAAAATAATGAATATTTTATTACTTAATATTTGTGTAAATTATATTTTTGAATTATAAGTAGAGTCAAAATGGATGAAAATAAAATATTGAATAATTTTATTTTTTATTAAAGGATGAATTACATCCAATAAAATGAATACATTTCAACTAGGTTGATACATATTTACTTATCTATTATTTGTATTACTCTATTATTTAAAACTCGTATGTTTAATACATGAAAAAGAAAATAATACATTATTTATAGTATCTAATTTTTAAAATTTCAAATATTGATATTGGGAGACTTATTTTAAAATTTTAAATTTAATGGTTTAAAAATATAATTTTTTTTTAAAAGAAGGGTGGACGAGCGAGCAGGCTATTGGGTCAGATAATGGGTTTGGAGGCAAACTTAAATCCTTCTTTTAAGGATATTGAGCTTGAGTTCGGACGAGCTAACTATCGGATCTATCAAGTTTTGAATCTATGTTTTTTTGACCGAATAACAGGACCCATGAATAACTTAACTCATGGACACCCCTAAGCATTACACTCATTTTAGATTGACTAATTCCAAGTACCAACAACCCCAATGAAATCATCCAATACTATTATTATTTATAGCAGAATTTTTATTTTTTGATATTTAAAAAAATATTTTATCCTCTTTTTTAATTCTCTCATTCTATTTTCCTCTCTTTTTGATTTTATTAGCTATGGGGGTTATAATAGTAATTTTGTAAAATAATACATTGTTCTGGATTATAATACCACTTTTTTTGGTGGTATTAAAATATTTTCATAATATATGTCTATTATATAAAAAATATACAATAAGTATATGATTGGTATACATTTTTTAAATTAATACAAACTCAAAATTACTTACCAAACAAAATATTAGGCTTGATTAAATAAAAAATAATGTAATTCAATATTTAATCCCTTTATAATATGTCTTCCAAACGAGCCCAAAAAATTTTCATCTAAAACAAACAATAGATAGAATCCTTACGCCTACTACTTTATCTCTTTTATCTTTTAACTATAATATCCTACCCTATCGTCTTTTTTAAACTTTCCCACTCCTAATTTCCTTCTATCTGTTACTTTATTTCTTTTAACTGCAATATCCTATCATATCCTCTTTTTAAACTCTCTCTCTCTCNTTGTATTGTGATGAATGCTTTTATTTTCTCCAAGGTTCATGTACTTCATTTGTTGTCTGTGCCCTTAAGTTTATGTATTTTGTATGGGGCTTGAGAATTAAGATCTTTTCATTGGTGTTAACATTAGAAATGTTCGTGAATTCTTTTCAAGTGTTTTGAAAGCTATAGTTTATATGGATATCGGGCTTTCTTTAGTGTTTTTTTTTGGGGTTTCCAAGGATAGTTACTGCCAAACAATTTGGAGTATCAATCTGACATGAATTGCCCTGCGGGCTAGGCTCCACTATCGTTATTACACTATCCTGATACAAAGTTCAAGTTTGCAAGAACATTATACGAATGATATATAGCATTACTAGGGGGTGTCCATGGGCCGGGCGGGTTAAGCCTGTGAAATATTTTTTGGGTCGGATTGAATAATATAAGTCAAAGTACTTATTCAAGTGAGTTATAGGTGGGCTGGGCTGGGCTGAGCCAAACTTTGGGTATGGGTAAGTTATCCGCCGCAAATCTGTTGGGCAGGTGTTGGGTTGGCATGTTGGTGGACTCTTTTATATAAAATTTTATTTAAAAATAATGAATATTTTATTACTTAATATTTGTGTAAATTATATTTTTGAATTATAAGTAGAGTCAAAATGGATGAAAATAAAATATTGAATAATTTTATTTTTTATTAAAGGATGAATTACATCCAATAAAATGAATACATTTCAACTAGGTTGATACATATTTACTTATCTATTATTTGTATTACTCTATCATTTAAAACTCATATGTTTAATACATGGAAAAGAAAATAATACATTATTTATAGTATCTAATTTTTAAAATTTTAAATTTAATGGTTTAAAAATATAACTTTTTTTAAAAGAAGGGTGGACGAGGGAGCAGGCTATTGGGTCAGATAATGGGTTTGGAGGCAAACTTAAATCCTTCTTTTAAGGATATTGAGCTTGAGTTCGAACGAGCTAACTATTGGATCTATCAAGTTTTGAATGTATATTTTTTTGACCAAATAACAGGACCCATGAATAACTCAACTCATGGACACCCCTGAGCATTACACTCATTTTAGATTGACTAATTCCAAGAACCAACAACCCCAGTGAAATCATCCAATACTATTATTATTTATAGCAGAATTTTTATTTTTTGATATTTAAAAAAATATTTTATCCTCTTTTTTAATTCTCTCATTCTATTTTCCTCTCTTTTTGATTTTATTAGCTATGGGGGTTATAATAATAATTTTTTAAAATAATACATTGTTCTGGATTATAATACCACTTTTTTTGGTGGTATTAAAATATTTTCAAAAAATATACAATAAGTATATAATTGGTATACATTTTTTAAATTAATACAAACTCAAATTTACTTACCAAACAAAATATTAGGCTTGATTAAATAAAAAATAATGTAATTCAATATTTAATCCCTTTATAATACGTCTTCCAAACGAGCCCAAAAAATTTTCAACTAAAACAAACAATAGATAGAATCCTTACACCTACTACTTTATCTCTTTTATCTTTTAACTATAATATCCTACCCTATCGTCTTTTTTAAACTTTCCCACTCCTAATTTCCTTCTATCTGTTACTTTATTTCTTTTAACTGCAATATCCTATCATATCCTCTTTTTAAACTCTCTCTCTCTCCTATTTTTCGATAACTCTCAAACAGCAAAAAAAAAAAAAAACCCAGCTCAAGCAAACTACAGAAATCCTCTAACTGCCAAACTACAAAGTCCCTCTAACTGCGGATACCCCTAAACTCCATGCCATTTCCATTGCTATATCTTTTTTTTATATTCTCTCACTCATATTTTTCTCTAAACTCCAAGTCTCTTCCACTTTTTTATCCTCTTTTTAAATTCTCACATTCATATTTTTCTCAAACTCTCAACCGATCTTCTCCATCCATCTCCCAATCTCCTTCTCGCACCTTGCTTTCTCTCAACAGAACGTAGAAGTTTGTCGGCCTTTTTTCTCCCATCACTTTTGTTGACAGAAACTAATAAGTTACGAATGATTCTCTCTTATTAATCATATTTTTGTTGTTTAGACAATTGTTAGTCAACTTCGTTTTTTTTTTCTGGCGATAAAATTTCATGATTTGACTCTCGTAATTATTTCAGACCCGTTGTTTAAAGGATATATTCATACAAAAACTAATTAAATAATATTATTTGATATAGTTTAGAATATTTATAATGATGTTATTAATATACTACCAAACAGATTACCAAACATTAATTTCCAACACAAAAAAAAATACAAAAACTAATTAAGTAATATTATTTGAATAATTTAGAATATTTATAATGATGTTATTAATTTCCAACTCAAAAAAAAAAAAAGAAATACAAAAACTAATTAAATTAAAAATATAGTGAAATATTTTTAATAAATATTGTACATATTCAGCTGACAAAATCTAGACCCCATTTTGAAATGATTCCGAAAAATTCATATTAAAAAATTACAAATTTTAACAAAAATTATACATTCAAAGGATATATTCCTCAACATTAACATTAACAAATTCATAAGCATATCATAATAAACTATTTTATGCGTATGATACACGGGGGTCCTACCTGTAGGTAGTGTATGAATATGAATGTGGTGTAGTTAGCATCATCTTTCTTCCCGGAAGCACAGTTCCAGAATGGTTAAAAGTATGAAACCTTCTATTTCTTTTGACGTGCCTTTCACATATAAATGGCAAGATCCGAGGTCTGAATCTATGTATTGTGTATGGGATAAGCCCTCCCTGGGATCATGGGTTTGGTGGTGTACACTCCATCAAAATCAATAACAGAACCAAGGGTCTGAAGTGGGACTTATTGCCCAACATTCTATGGCATCCCAGAGGAGAAGAATGAAGATATGCTATGGTTAAACCATATGAAGTTTGAAAATCAGTTTCAAGGTGGCAATGGTGTCTCAGTTTCGGTAGTTATGGCAGTTTGATTTGACATGGCATGATGCTAGGAACCTTTCCTTCCCATAAAAATGTCATTGATGAAGTTCACAAGCCATCGTCTAAATTTAAGGGGGCAGGGGCAGGGGCAGTGAAAGTTTTGAGTGGTTTTGACTTCTGTTTTGTTATCGGCGTTTCTCGACCTTGCATAGATTCTGTATGGGCTCCAAAGGTGGCTAAGGAAGATAATGAAAGAGCAGAACAAGCGGTTTTCCATTATAAAGAACCAACCTTGATGTCCATTGCAGATGATGATGAAGATTCCACTGATTCAAATTCACCATGACAGGAATACAGAATAAACAACATCACAGATAAGGCATTGTAGTGCTGCTGATCCCTAAATTCATGCACCAAATTAGTTCAGAAGCTACATAGAACTTATTTGTGAAGGATAAAGATTTATAACTCCAATCTTCTTTGCATAAATTTAAAGTATCATTTGGTGACATTTTTTTGTCAATTTTTGAAAAATTTTTTTCTTTAAAGTAACATTTAGTTCACAGTCTTCCTCCAAGATTCACATTATAGCAACACAAACACACACACACACATACACAAAGGTATTATCTATACTCTAAATAAAGGGAGAAGAAAAGATTTGGTATCCTCTCCTAAAAGGTTAATCATAACCTTGATTTCTTTTCAAGTAACCACCTGCAGTACACTCTTCCCCTCTACTCAAACGCTTCTTATGAATGTAAATATTATCGTCCATTTTCTCAAAAATAACCACGCTACTCATTTTTCAACTCTATCCAGCTGTCTAATTCTGTCTTCACACGAGCGTAACCTTTCATACAGGACTTCTAATTCATCAGAAGATGCATTTAAGCACTTTTGTAAAACAATCAAACATCATTTGATTCTTTTTGACAAAATTATTTTCTTACTTTAAAAAACCCCTTCACAAATACGCTACTAAAAGATAGACATGTTTTTATGACCATGAACCATCTAGCATTTATCCTCGCTGCTTGACCACATTCTAATATCACATTATGATATCCACTCTACAAAGAAACTGCTTCATTCTAGAACAAGTAGAAGTATAACATGCATTCATGCACCATATATACATATCTCATAAGACTCGTATTAGCAAGCATAGTACAGATCAACCCAACCATCACCAGAATTAAATCACAATATAGGTTTTCTGAGAGAAGATGACCAGTAGATTGGTTGCTAAGCAGCCTCAGCAAAACCCAGTTGGAGATTGCCATAATCAAACACTGTATGATACACCCCCATGAAGACATCTCCAAGGATCCTGCATGCATAAATAATTATGCATCGTCATAATACGCCATAAACAGAAGCGTACGTAAGACAGAGAAGCATAAAATTTATTGAATCTGCTGATCATACAGACATACTAATATGATACTTCTCTTGTAATATATAATCGACATGGATTTTGGTAAAACCAACGTACCACAGAGGACCTCGAGGAGGAGGCACGTCCAGTGCAATAAACCCACTGAGGCAGATTGATGCAATGCCTTCTCCAGTTTTAAGAATATACTGTGGAAGCAAGTGCAGAAAAAAGGAACGAGTACAAATAATGAAAATCAATGCAAGACCATCATGTATAAATCTTAAATTATGACTTATTAAAATCAAGGCAATAATAAGTTAGCCAACCAGATTATTTCTTTGTTACCTCTTAAAAGAAACAAGACTACTCCCTATATTGTTACCTTCAATCATTCATGCTGCCCAATAGGGCTATCTCCCATACATCCAAACTGACGTGGTAACATGTGATACCATAGAGAGCTATGTGACATTGACTCAGGTGGCAGAAGTTTCAGCTTCAGCATAAGTCCAAGCTTAGCAAAATCCTTGCACCAGGGAAGCAGTTTTGTTTTTTCCGCCAAGTATAATACGCGATTTTATTGTAGAAACAGGTGCTGCCATTTCATTTGCAAAACTCATAATTTTTACATTTTCCAAATTCGTGACACATTATAGGAGTTGACACCAAAAAACTTCTAAATCCTCTTGGAGCTGAGTAACTTCCTAATCTCAAATTTATCAACATAAATGTAGCTGATTCAGTGCAAAAATATTCATGCTATAAGTGAATCAAAAAAATTAGGAGAGTATGCTAAATGAGTGCAAAACATGAAAACTGAAAAAAGTAACATGAACAAAAATTAGAAGGCATGCCAAAAATAAAGTCAAACCAAACCTGCTCAGGAGTGAGGCTGAAAGCTTTATTTCCAATGGTAAATGTGACATTTGGCATGGATGCAATGCTATTGCAGTCAATCATTGACTCTCCCATAGGACTTGGTAGGCTCTCACAAAGCTAGTAAACAAGAAAATTTAGCTTTTAATTCCAGTGTCATTTTTGGCTTCTAAACGGCAGATAAACTCAGCTGACATATTACCTGATTCACGTAACTTAGAACTGCTTCCTTCGTTGCCTCTTGCCTTAGCTGGTTCTTCATCCAAACAACAGCCATCTCACAAGCAGCACAGAATACAGTTTCCCCGGCGGAAGTTCCCTCCTCTTCCCTTTCAACTACTGTTTCAATATGAGAACTGCAAGGAATCCCACTCAATTGTCAGCTCGGCTTTGGCTTGGTGCAACACTTATCTACATTAAACTGACACCTTTGCCCCCCTCCGGGATACAGAAGTTGAATTCATCACCCTATTATGCTCAGGCCAATGGGCAAGCAGAATCCACTAACAAAACATTGAAGTCAATCCTAGAAAAAAACTATAGAGGATAACCCAAGGCAGTGGCATGAATTATTGTCAAATGTTTTGTGGGCATATAGAACTTCAAAGAAGACTAGCACAGGAACAAAACCATTCGAATTGGTGTATGGGCATGATGTTGTGATACCTATGGAGATACCAGTAAAATCAAAAAGGGTGTTAAGAGTACCAGGGTGTGTCGTCGGAAACATATTCTCAAGCCATGTTCCTTGAATTGGAGGACAAGGAAGAGAATCAAATGAAAGCATTAAACCACTTCTAAATACAGAAAAAGAAGATAGAAATGACTTATAATAAAAAAGTTAAGTCCAAAAGTATTTCAAAAAGAGATTTGGTGTGGAAAACCATCTTGCCTTTGGGAAGTAAAGACAAGGAATATGGCTTGAGGCGAAGCCTTTCAAAGTAGGAAAAATACTAAGAGGTGAAGCTTACAACTTCCAGTCTTTAAAGGGAGAATGGCATAGCAAACCCATTAATGGAAGACATTTAAAAAGATATTATCCAACCATGTGGGATTTTTATAACATTAATTATTAAAAAAAAAAAAGAATTGCTAAAGAAATAAAGGGAATTTGAAAATCATACATTCCTGAGAAGTTGTTTACAAAGTAAAAGACCACAAGGTTTGGCCATTCTATGGAATATAGACAAAATAATATACATAAAAAAATTCAAAAAGGAAAATGAAAAATAACTTTTGGCAACACTGATCGAGTTCGCAGGTATTAAAAATGGTTACAAGAAAGTAAGAAGAACATCCTTGGATCATATTTGCAGGATGCTCTAGACACTGGTTTATGTGGAATCCCAAAGTTTTTATTCGCATGAAACAAAGGTTACAAGACAGCCGTTCCCAACTTAAGGTGTTCATTGATAACTAGTACGTGGAAGTGCTCCAAAAGAAAGCATGTTCAACAGAAATACAGTTTATTTTAAGATGAAAATTGATAATTAGGGCATCACAAATCAGTAACGGTATCCTGACCTCACATACTGAGCTCCATTGAAGGTACATAGACCTATTTGTGAACATATTTTGTCAGGTTGTAGCTGCAAACCATGAAAGGACCTTCTAAATATATTCTTTAAACTCAAGTCAAATAAACTTACAGAAGGGTAAAAAGAGTAAGGGAAACAACACAAACCCCCGATATTAAGAGATCCCATATCATGTCCCCATATTGAGTAACCATTTCTTTACATTCCGCACTCAGTACTCCTTCTGCTCCGATGGCATGATTGATTTCAGTGATAACAGTCTGTAATTTATGGACTAGTTAGGACACTTATTAGCAGACTATAGTCTTGGAAAAAGAAAAACAGAAAATGATGAATAATTCCCAAGAATCCTTCAGACAAAGAACCGCTTGTGAAACAAAGGTAGAAGAACGTACAGTTGGACCAGCAAGCAAGGATGTTCCAGAATCCACAATAGCAGCACAACCCCCCTCACAAAAACCTACAAACAGAAAACTTTAAGGTAAAGAAAATCGAACTTATAAATTTCAAAANCAAACTCAATACCGATCTAGACTAAGCATTAATCAATTGACATCATAAAAATAGGAAGAGAACAAAATGATATCTTTACCAATTTCCGTATATGAACTGGACCGGCTCGCCTTGTACTTAGAATGGAACCAGCAAGCGATCTGCATGTAATTTTGATTATTAGGTGATAGTAAACTAGGACCTATAATATGTCCCAGAATAAGATGAAGAACTCACAGAAAAATAACATTTCGATGATGGAACCCAGAGATTGGAACTGCCAGTGTCAAATATGACAGTGAAATTCTGAGGGGGTGAACCGATACTAATCTCTCCATAGTATTGAGCATCCAAATAATTCTTCAGGGGAATTAAGTCTACATCTGAATCACCCAAATTATGCCGCATGCCTTTCACTACCTTTCCATAATTCCCTTGCATTCTTGCAGCTTTGGCAGCATTAATGCTATCAAGATCCAATGGCCGCTTCTTCAAACCAATTCTAACTAATCCATTGCAGGAAGCAGGATGTAAACAGCATGCCAAAGCCCATAAGCAGAAAACCACAAAAAGATCGTAGCGCCCCATGCTTGGAGAATTCCCTGTTTCAAAGAATGACCAGAGGTCAGGGTGAAGAGTCAGTCAATATGCACATATATCCAGCAGTATATAATATCATGAAGGAAAGATGTGCTCCTAGGTGGTAAACCCCTTGAAAGCACAAGCATATCCACGGCTGGGAGGTGGGATGATAGTAGATTATATTACTCTTAATGAAAATTGAAGACTATACATGTTTGAGACATGTTGCTGATCAGAAATAAATAAAATTGAAAATTTAACATCTTATGCGCTCAGAAAAACACGGAACATTAGCACATAAATGCAGTCAAGAACTCACACCCGATAGCCAGACCAATATATTCCACACACACACAATTGCTAATTCCAAAGTAAAAGATTTACAACAACCACAAACCAACCATCACAAAACTCTGCAGATATGAAATCACAAACTGGTTATATGTTCAAGAAAACTAGAATATGAAATTAATTAACAGTTTGAGAGGTACAATTGGGGTTACGATCGATTCAAATTTGGGGGAAGCCATCTAGAACTCTTTGAACCATGTACAACACTCAATGCACAAATTAGCTTAATATTCACATCGTCTTCCGGCAACAAAATGTGTCAGGAGACATTTTCTGAGACATCCCATTGTTACAATATTGGCTGAAGAAACATCTCATCTTCCCTAGTCTAAAATCATCCCTAGGTTAAAATTGCTGGCACTTGGTAACAAAATTTCTGTTTCACACTTTTACTGCCATGAAACACAGGCAAAAGGCTTGCTACTCTGCTTTTATTTATCCTATCCTATGAATTTTAACAGTCCATTTTCTCAAAAGTACTTTTGGTCTGATAAAATGGTACATTCGACCACCCTTGGAACAATGGAAGGAGTAGTGCCACATATAACCCCTTGAAAGTGGAGAACTACTAGGTGCAATAAAGAAGCAAAAAAGCCACAATGCAGAAAGAATCATGTATGGCATATGTGCCCATGGCTGTCACAGATAAAACCAATAACAGAGATCAGATACCATCTATCCAGAAAGCATAAAAAAGTAACTTCTCTTTTCCAGGATCTTTTGCATTTGGTTTTGTTTTACAAATATGCATTAGAATGCATGACCTTTCTTAGCTTATCATTATTATTATAATTTGTCATAGTTCATCATAAATAAGGAAGGCACAGGCAGGCGGCAGGCTTTAGATCTCATCATAGGTGGGTAGGGTAATAGATTATGTGCTGCTGCTAACCCGGGCAAGCCCAATAATACTTGGAGCCTGAGGGTGAAAATTTGAGATGGGCTCTAAACCTTTTTTTTTTTTTTTTTTTGTGATTAAATTAATTTGTTTCTCTTTTGTGTTGAAATTTCTCATATCTAGATTAGTATTTCTAATATTTATATAACGAAGCCCAGCACCTTATACAAATAATTATATTTAGATCTAAATTAACTTACATGTAGAGTTCAAAAAATAAAATGGTAAAATAAGCTGGGAACTAAGATAGAATAAGAGAGACTAGTCTCAATTGTTTTGTAAAAGAATTGGTGTGATTTACTTGTTGAAGATATTATAAATTTGAATATATATTAGTTTGTAATTAATTAACATAGAGAAATTGAGAGAGCGAGAAAGAAATAGATGAGATATTAAATTTAGGGGAAAATTATCCAAGAAAGTCAAAAAACCCCTTTGTAATCATAAGACATACGAAATTTGTAGTTCTAACAAAATTTTAGTCTTTTTCTATGACCATCTGAGAACTATGAAACACGGACACTCTCGAGAACGTGACTGACGTATCCGTGTCGGACACCGACACTCTTCGGACACTCTCGGACACGTGTCCAATACTCTTTTATCCATGTCCATAATTAAATGATAAATTTTTAATTTCGGACACTTCTTTGATGACGTGTCCGACACTTCTTTAGAACGTTTCTAATATTAAACAATTGACATTTGTTGAAATGAGATTAACAAATCTTAAAAATTTGAGAAAATATAATCACTAATACTAGACATTAAAGTTGTACTCCAAATATAATAATAAAAACAAAACATGCATAAAAGTTTTAAAAAAGAGGAATTGAGAAAATGAGAGTAATTATTTAAATTATATATTAGGTACACATTGTCTACAAAAAAAAAATTGATGATTATTGACCATAATGAGGATGTTTTAGTTTAAAAATTCACATTGATGACTAGACATTAGGTATTCTTATCATAAAATATTGATTTTTTTATGAATTGTATATTATTATCACTATATTTGCAATAAATTATATAATGTTATATATAAAATATAATTTTTTTGTAACATGTCCGTGTCCTACTTTTTGATAAATATCGTATCGGCGTGTCCGTGTTGTGTCGTATCCGTATCCCGTATCCTTGTCCATGCTTCTTAGTCTGAGAAATAGTAGACTATAGTCCAACTCCAAAGATGGGTTTGAATGAGGGACAAAACATTTAAAAGAATCATATTTTCAATGCAAATCCTAAATCTATTTGTTTTTTTAAAATTAATCTCATGATTTTGTGGGGTGTAGACAAGTGGGGCCCTAGGCAAGTGCTGCCAACCTTATTGTAAACAATCATACACAAACACACAAATATACATTTCTATGAATAAGGGAAACAAGCTTCCTATACATAAAGAATGTTGTGTACATTTAACCCTCTTCAATTTCTACAATGACTTGAGTCTTATATACATTGGGTTGTCCTTTATAGGTCGATATTTATAGGTAGACATTCATATGCATAGAGCATACAAGTCACAATCAATTGGCAATAGCTAGAGTGGCCATTTAAGTATATAAATCAACCTTGAGTCTAATTAATTTTTCAATGTTGGAGATCTCTCTTCTTTCCCTCACATGCGACACGGACCAGCATGCGGGCTAACAAACCGAATTGAAATATGGAGACTGTTGAGAATATTGCTATAATATAATTAGGGTTTACACTTATTGTAATATGTATACCACATAAAGGGTTTACTTATCTTTTGTATCCTTGTTCAGTGACCATAAATACAAGATTGACAGTGAAAGACGGGCTATGTTGAAACCTTTCTTTGCCTCTCTTGTATTATGTTAAATGCGTCTCTCCTCTAAACTTAACATGGTATCAGAGCAATTAGGTCTAATCTCCTACTAATCATCTTCCTTTTTTTTTTTCCCTTCTTTCATTTCTTCTCCGTTCCTTCATCTCTATCACACCCACTTATATTGGTTCTACAAGCGTACTGGATGGGTTTGCAATGAAATGATGCATTCCCTAAGTNTCCCTTCTTTCTTTTCTTCTCTGTTCCTTCATCTCTATCACACCCACTTATATTGGTTCTACAAGCGTACTGGATGGGTTTGCAATGAAATGATGCATTCCCTAAGTTGTTGTTTCCTGTTGCAATCAATGGTAGAAGTGATTGGTGATAGTCAAAGTGGTTGTATTGTGGTGGTGGTATTGATTACTAATAGTGGTTGTCGAAATTGGTGTCGCGAGTTTACCACTGTTCTCCTACTATTTTTCCGTCGTCGAAAATGTTAATCCTCAATGTGGTGTGACGTGAGAGTGACCTATGTTACTGCCGGAGTGGTTGTTGTCATTGGCGTCATTGGTTGCTGCCGGAGTGATGAGGTCGTTGTGTTCGCTGTTATCGCCACTATTTGGTCGTGACACTGTGGGCGGCACTATGGGAGGCAANATTGTGGTGGTGGTATTGATTACTAATAGTGGTTGTCGAAATTGGTGTCGCGAGTTTACCACTGTTCTCCTACTATTTTTCTGTCGTCGAAAATGTTAATCCTCAATGTGGTGTGACGTGAGAGTGACCTATGTTACTGCGGGAGTGGTTGTTGTCATTGTCGTCGTTGGTTGCTGCCGGAGTGATGAGGTCGTTGTGATCGCTGTTATCGCCACTATTTGGTCGTGACACTGTGGGCGGCACTATGGGAGGCAAGGGCTTCGTTTGGAACCCTCACAGGGAAGAAGACAACACCGATGTGGGTCGGATCAGATCTATCATGGTTGCGGGTTTAAATTAAGTCTAAAGTCCAATAACCCTAGTTCGACCCAAGTCTAAGCCCAAGTCCATTCTGTTGGTAGCCCAACCCAAGCCAGCATTAGTCCAGCCAGTTTAGTCTAGTTGAGCCTACCTTAGGCCGGTTCAGCCTATCATAGACCGGTTCAGCCTATCTTAGGCCAGTTCAGGCAATTTTACATGGTTCGGCTCCTGTTCAGGCACTATTGGGCCAAGTTCATCACGGTTCATGCGCGAGTACACCTGGTTCAGTCCTGTCCACGCTTGATTCAACCAGTTCACCTTCGGTTCACCACTGCCAGCCCTTCCTCATCCGGTTCATCTCTGGTTCAGCCTAACTTAGGCCAATTCAGGTCTATTTCGCATGGTTTGGCTGCTGTTCAGCATGTTTTAGATATGTTTTACCTCGTTTAAGTGACTTTGGGTTGGTTTTGAGACTTGTTTTAAGTTCAAATCACGCTTGGGTGGCTAGTTGTGAGCTCTGTATCACTCTTGAACTCTATTCTTTCTGTCATATGACTATGGAACCCAAGAATGATGATCCATCTACCGTTACTTCTCCTTTGCCACCAAGTTTGTCTCTTGCTGTTCTCCTTAACGGCCCCATGCCCTTTGCTAAGCTTAATGGGACCAATTATATTTTGTAGTCACAATTAGTTCAAGTATTTCTTAAAGGTAAAGATTTTAAAAAATATTTAGTAGACCTTAAACCCAAATAAGGCATTCCTGAATATGATCAGTGAGAACAGACAGATGCTCAGACTATTTCATTATTATTTAATAATATTAAGGCTAGTATTAGTTCCACTTTATTTTATCTTGACACGGCCAAAGAAATTTGAGATCACTTGGTCATTATGTATTCAAGAACAGGTAATTTTACTCGTGCATATGATGTATGTCAATAGCATTTTTGTCTAAACCAAGGAAATCTAAGTCTTGCAGATTATTATTCTCATGTTA